TTGTACAGCCTTTGAAATAATTCATAAATAAACTGTAATGAATATGAAATTGCAGAGATAGTCGCCCTTTAGTTTAAGCTAACACCTACGAGTTTACTGGGAACATCTCATGTTCCCAGCAACCTGGGGGTTGGCAATAAAAAGAAACTGCTGAATAATGCTAGCCCTGTCCTTCTTATTTAGCATTTGTTGTGTCTCTACAAATTGACCATCGCTCTGACAAATTGACCAGTCAGTGCGATGCGGTCCACACACCAGATGCTCTTGGATGTCCCAATGTGCAGGCTAAAAACCCAATCTGTGGAACAGTCTACCTGTTAAGAACTGCTCAGTCCATCGAAAACTTCAAATCTTTGCTTTAAAACTCACCTCTTTGCTCTGGCTTTTAATACAATTTGAGCTTGACATTTTCAATTTTTTATTCATGCTCCTATTTATTGTGTTTCATTCCATATGTTATTTTATTTGTTTTTTTTACATTGTGTTTTTGTACAGCACTTTGGTCAATCTAGGTTGTTTTAAATGTGCTATAGAAACAAAGATTGATTGATTGATCAAAGTTGCTCATATCATGGTTACATGGTTGGATCACATCTTACTCAAAGTTCACATACAGAAGGATTTATTAAAATACTTCTTTCACCTGATTTTGTTGTGCTTTTGTGGTTGTCCTTAACTCGTTTATTGTGTTGTTTTCCAGTATTACACTTTATTTTACTAATTGGCAGCTACACAAAGTGCCGTACTACTCAGGCTCTCTCTTTTTTCTCTTACATGCATCAATACGAGTGTATGGACACTATGGATGGGTAAAATAGTGTGAAACAAAGTGTCACGTTGTCATGTATGTTGTAACTGAATGTATCTTAAGACCAGAGCCAGCTAAGAGAACCCTCTCCTCTCATCCCTTCTCCTCAGGTTCCCTCTACTGAACGCTCTCTCTCTCTGTTTTTCTCTCTGTCCCCCGCTCCAAACAAGTCAAATGTCTGAAGAGATGTATCGAAGTATCCCTGTGCGCTCTGTACGATGGATATGTCATATGACATAATGCCTCGGAGCGCCCATCACAGATAAAATGACAGATGCTGTTTTTTGCCTCATGGATCTTTCTGGGCCAGGCTGATTTTGAGACTTTCTGTTTTGCTCTCTCTCTCTCTCTCTCTCTCTTTCTCTCTCTCTATCTATCTCTGTGCCTGTGTGCTCCTTCCTTTTCTCTTCCTCTCACTTTTTCTTTCATCCACTGTGACCTTACAAAGTCTGCCATTTTGTCTTTCATTGAATTAGCGACACGATTACTGTGTAATTGCTGGCGACAGGGAAAGCCTGTTTGTTGATGTCTCGCTTTCCTTTTTAACTGACACTCAGCCATCTGCTTTGTTTAGTGTCGATGTTTACCCCTCCCATCCCTGTTTCCCTGCTCCGCAACATGATTTCCTGCGTGTACTGGCGAGCGGTATCCGTCTCCATAGATACTAACAACAACAACAACATACCGGTGTTTTGGTTGCTGGCATGATGAGGGCACGTAAAGACAGAAGAGGAGAAGCAGAGGCTGAGTTTGGTGAATTCCTGGATGGGCACTGACCTTTCTGACTCTATTTGGATCACTTAAGGCCGGCCCTGTCCCTGAAGGGAATAAGGCATTCTGCTGAGGCTCACTCCATGGGCAGCTGTCCTCCCTGTCGTCCTCCTCACCACCATCAACCACCGCGGCCACAGCACCACCCCAGCACCGACTGCCTGTGGCTACCACTGGCCGTCCGTCCAGGTGGATGGATGGCTCTGATTGGTAAAATCTGTGTCTCTGTCGCTGAGCTGACTTGTGAGTGGCAGTAATTGGCATGGCAGTAGGCAGGCCCGTGTTTCACATGTGGTCAGCCATGATTGACCTGATTAGGCTGGGGTCGCTCCCCAAAGTGAGCGCTCTGGTTTTCCCCCCTGAGGTGGTGGGAAGCTTTCTGTACACACTTTAAGCTCATCTCCCAGCTCTCCCAGCATGTTGTTACTCACCAGAGACCACACCAGACTGGGATAGTAATTCAAGCTGGGGGATCTAACATCAGTCCAAACTTTAATCAAACAGTATTTTCATTTGATGTATCTGTCCCCTTTAACCACGTTTTCTGTTGGTCAATCAAACAATTCGACTTATATTTATTTTTGTCTCTTTGTTTTCATTTATAAAAATAAAAAAAATTAGAAGCACAACGTTGTCTTAAGACAATGTTAACACATTCAACAGAAAAAGCAGATACACTTTATCATTTGCTCTTTAATAATTAAAGTTTATTGCTAATGCTAGGTTCATGGGGCGGCTGTGGCTCAATTGGTAGAGTCGGTTGTCTCTCAAGCCAGATGGTCGGGGGTTCGAACCCCAGCTCCTGCAGAAACATGCCCAATGTGTCCTTGGGCAAGACACTTAACCCTGAATTGCTGCTGCTGCTTCGTCAGCGGTGTATGAAAATGGGATTAGTCCCTTCTGATGGTCACTTTACACAGCAGCCACAGCTATCAGTGTGTGAATGGGTTTGAATGTGTAGGTGTGACATGCAGTGTACTCATCTGCCTCAGAACTTTGAAAATCTGAAACCTCCAATATGATTTGAAATCGCCAACTGAATACCATTTCTTCACCTAGTAGTGAATGCTTTAAATATATTTGTATTTAACAAAGCATTATTACCATGGAGTGTTTGTTTTGGACCTAGTATGTTCTCTCAGCTCTGACAGTGTTGTATTTATCATCGTGTAGCTCTTAGTAACAAACAGGTATTTCCACCTGAAAAAGATCCCCCCCCCGTGTCATACAAATAATGTTCACAATCCTCGTGGATTTACAAGATACTGTGACTAACAAAATAAATACACTTGCGGTTGTCAAACATTTTTTAATTTCCTTTTATTACAAATAACACATTATTCAAACACTGACCTCAAACACATTATTCTGCTTTCTATCTGAAATTTGACTCAGAAAGTAAACAAATAAAAATATGAATGACTTGTACGGACTGATTTTTCTTAAATAATCATTTTTGTAAAACAATATGAGAGAAAATAGTAATTTTCTATGTGGACTCTGTCCCGACACAGTGCGTTCCAAACAGAGAGAGTAGATGTGGTGGAGGGTAAGTTGGAGGGAACGTTGGCCCGGCTACCTTCAGTCTTTACAGCTACCAGGGGTCAGAGAGTGTACTGAGAGAAACCTGAGACAAAGCCCAGCCGTACAGTGTGCACAAAGACAAGCAATATATGGAGGCGGGTGCTGGAGGGACTTTGGTTTGCTTCTTGTAAATTCAGAACCCATCACATGTTTGCAATTAAGGCCTGTCTGTACCGTGTGTTTACAGAGCGGTGCAATCAATGTAATTGTGAGAGGGTGTTCCTGACTGAAACGTCTGTCTTATTTCTCTCTGCCTGGGTTCAAGTGGGCACTTTTCTGGATTTGTTCCCCCAGTGTTTCTCATTCCCAAATGTAAATGCATCTCTTGATTTGTATCGGCCTCTGTATACACTCCCTGTTTTATCGTTCTCATTTTTCCTGGATCAAATACAAACAACGAGAGCTGCATTTCAGAGCCGGACGTCAGCTCAGATCTGTGTCAGCAGTGTTGTTCGTTTAGAGAGGAAAAAATCTGCTCATATTCATATTCAAAGAGCCGTACAACTCACTTAAATAAAAGGATGGTTTCCTCAGAGCATGGAGCTGATATTTCCCTCCACATGTTCAGTTTTAGAGAACAGTCTGCAGCTGAAGATCTGGATGTTATTAGTGCATCTCTCTCATCTCATTGGTATTATGCAAGTGGGATTCATTTTCTTAATTGGAGGTGTGCAAATATGTTGAGGCTGTAACATTCCCTACTATTGACAGTGTCAATGTGTTGGTCATTCAGCAGCCATGACTTCATTTATAGGTCATGGGAAACAGTAACGAATATTTTTATACTGATGAACGCACATCTGTAAAAGTGAAAATAAAATAAATAAAACACAAACACAGTTATAGAAGTGTGATTGTACTAATCATCATCTTTACTTTAATTTTCTGCTAACCTAAAACTTCATCCTCATAAAAGGCCGAGCACGTAAAAGCACCTACGTCATGATGATGGCAATGTTGTCGCTCACTGTGCAAGAATATCAAAAACCTCTGCAGGGTCAAAGTTCAAAGATAATATATTTCATGTCTTGCTAACAACTCTTAAAGGGTGTACTTAGTGCTTCCATCTACAGTATCATGCTAATTATGAAAATATATGATGTTTACTATATTTTTTGTTCATAGCATGCTAACGTGATGATGCTAATTATCAGAGTACAACTGGGGCTGCCTGTAGTGTGATTAGTTTGGCAGGGATGTTTTTACATATCACAGCATGGAGAAAAAAACATTGACCTGCTGCTGGAGCCATATGAACGCTAATTTGTTATAGTCATTTTGGAAAAAAATGTCCCACAAACCCCCTCCATTTAACCCAACCCCACAAATGTCACTGTCACGGTGGAGCTGGAGGAAAGTCATTAGGGTTCATCCTCTGGTTGGACTTGAATGACAGAGTTTTATGACGGCATATCACATTTATATTCTGGCTGACATCACCATCCCTAAAGCAATGTCAATGTAGTTTGGCTTAATGCTGCCAGTGTGCATCAATTTAAATGTTGTGAGATTTGTGTTGATTACACTAGATTACATGCAGCATGTGGAAACTGTCCACATTTGTGTTAAAATCCAAAAGATTTTTTGTGAATATTATTTAGCACAGACAAGTCATCATTTCTTTTGTGTCTTCTCAATCACCCTTTACCTTTAACTTTTGTGACACACTTTCACTTTTTGTCACTTGTTAGCTCAGCAAATAAAATAATCAATGATTCTGGGTTTTTTTCCAATCACAGCGTTGTTATCTCTATTAGACACAAACGGAAAATGGGTTTAATCTGTTTCGGTCAGAAGTCCATCCTCTCAATCTTCTGACTCCTGTTTTTGTCTGCAGGTTTCAGGCAGCACGGCGGGCTCCCCGGCCAGCTCCTCCACCCCGTCCAACTCGTCGCGCCAGTACACACGGCAACGCATCACCCGCGTCAACCTCAGGGACTTGATTTTCTACATGGAGCAGGAGAGAGCGACCGCCCACTCCCTCCTCCTTTACCGTGCCCTGCTCAAGTAGCCTCTGCTCCGCCTCAGCGCCCACCTCAGCCTCCTCCTCCTCCTCCGTCTACTTCCCCTTTGCCACGTGCCTTCAGATCAGGTCTAATGTTTCAGCTCTGTGTCTCCATACATACTGTAGTGATGTTTGATGTAGCTTTCATAAGAAGAGCAGGAAGAGTTAGGAAAAAAAGTACAAAAATAAAACTGTTGTTCCGTGTCTTATTACTTTAGAGTCACGGTGTGTAGTTAGATCATTTGGTTTAAAGGTTGTATCAGATTCTTTGTCTTGAAAGTGAATTTGATAAAGTAACTAAGTGGGATTTGTTTCACAGAACTCGATGCAGAACTTGTTCCATGTACGTACGGTAGTTATTTATTTAACGACATTGGCAGTAGCTTCAATGAACCACCTCAAAGACAACAGGATTATTTTTGAGAAGATCGTCATTTTCACGCCTCAGTACAGCCTACGATATATCTCCACGACCTATTTGTTGAACCAAGAGAGATTTCACTGATTTTAAAACATTAAGATTCCAAATAACAGCATCATGCTCCTTATGTGTAAATAGTTCTTTTTGAATTATTTTACAGCATGTATATTTTTGATCACATGTAAGCTTTGTAAGAAAAAGGAATAACCCATGTGTCAATACTATGAAACCTGATGTTTTGTAAAATCATGAGTCAAAATAGGACGATCATTCTGCTCACCTGTAGAGTATTTGTAACGAGACAGAAGCCCAATGACCCTCCTGCAAGTTGTCTTTAAACCAGGACCTTGAGTAAGTCAGTATTATATTTTTTACCCACAAATAATGTGAACATTGTTTGTATGTAGTTGTGTGTAAGTGGTGTAGTATCATGCTCACTCTTTGTCAAACTCACCTGGTTCAAAAGGTAAGTTTGGATTCATGTAGAGTTGTGTTCAGGTGACTGAGGAGAGTGAAACTTCTGATCTGAACAGACAGTCCTTTATCTTTCACTCTCACTGTTCAATCTGCACATTAATCATTAAAAAAAAAAAAAAAACATTTCAAGTGTTCACACAGCTGTTTCAGCCCTGACCTACTCTGAGTAAGACTGAGTGACAATAGTTGTCCTTTAATCGGTTCAGTGCCCTGGACTCAAACGTATTTGTATTTTGATCCTAAATTAATATCACAGCTGTGAAGAAGTGTTAAATTATTTTGAAAAAAACGAAAGTATTTGATTCCTGTCCCGCTTCGTTTCTCTCTATGTATAACTTATTGAGGAGAGGATTGTGACAAAATGCCTGCTTTTACATGTTGTATTACATTGTCACCTTTGTTTGTTTTTTTAAAATCCTTATTGTGTCATGTAATGTTGTCCAGTTTGATTTTTATATTGAACAAAATATCTTGGCCTCTATGCAGCTTTTTTCTTGTCTTATTTGAATTTGAAACAACTGTTGTGCATTTGAAATTTTTGACAGCACTTTTTTTAATCTCTCTATTAGCCGACGAGTGAAAGCTGTCACTGTATTATAAGAAATGACTCTTTGGATTAGTAAACAGTATTTGCCAATTTATCCTGAGACTTATTTTTAACGATTAATATATTCTCTTTCCCTTTTTTTTTTCTTGATTGGCTTTAATGCTTGGCACATTTTCATAAAGTTTATCTCCCAAAAAAGAAAAAAAACATGTTTTAAAAAGAAGCACAATCATCTCTATTGTGGTGATTCCAAGCAATTTTAATAGTGATTTTTATGGTTTCTGGTGATTTCACAGGAGGACATTTCTACTTCTACTACTACTACTACAGCTTTTTAGCCAAAATAATAGAACAATATAACTGATGTAAACAGATGGTGAGATCACATTTCAGTGTAAGAATGATTTGTAAATATTGTTTACAAAACTATGTGTTTATTAGAACCACGTTATTTTTGGTAAACTCTTGTACATATCCTGAGAATTTCCTGTTTGTGTGAAAAAAACGATACTTATGTATTTGTACCTATTTTGTAAAGGAATAAATAAGCTGTTTACTAAACTGAGCAGACACTACCTCTGTCCATTTCCTCTTGTTTTCCTTTAGCTGCACACACATTATAATGTCTGGGAGTGTGAGAGTCTAAATAGAAAAATGACTTCATAATTAAGCAATGACTTTCCCGACACTCGCTCCTGTCTCCTCTAAAGGAAAAATAAGCTGTTATATTTTTTACAAGACAGTTTTACCAAAGTCAACAACTAATTCAGCCTGCTTCATTTCCATTTCTTACATCGCACATGCTAAGTACAAACTGAGTCAAGCGCTGCTGCTCAACTATGAAAAGTCCCCCTAGGTTTCTGCTGCTAATTAAGCAGAAGCATTTTTGAAAAGACCCAACTGTTTAACGCGGTGCAAAATATTGGGGTTTGGGAGCATATTGTTTTTTCCAAGACCTCGGTCTACTCCTCAGTCTCTTTGGAAGGGTAGACTGCTGATCTGAATCCAGGCCCACGGACAACCTTTCCTCTCTTGCTAACATCCACCGTGAGCAGAAATACACCTGGGTACAGTAAGCTAGGAAGAGATATCAGGTCTCATCGGGTCATTTAAAGGCCACAGAGATCAAATCAGTGAATACAGCAGCCACATTCATACATCAGTGTTTGTTGCTGGCATCATCAGTGATAAAATAATGCCGACAGTGCAGCTATAATTGGGCTGCTGCATCAATGAGATGACTTTCTAAGATCAATGGAACAAATAAGAGCAATAAGACTCAGCAAATATACAGTACATCCTTTTATTATCGCAAATATGCAAGAAAAGTCAAACAGAGACACTGTAAATGAACACATGCCCTTTAATACCACAGTCTAATTGTTTTAAACACTTTAAATAATATACATTTGCACCTTATGATACCCTTTGAAATGTTTAATCCATATGTACACAATGTAACTCTTTGAATTCTTTTCATTCTTTTGGTGAAGAGGACTAAGAGGTCTCTTTAAAAACACGAGGGTCCAGTAAAACCCTGAGTCCTTATAATTCAATATACAATAACTGTACAACTGGGGGAGTGAATGCCAAGTGAAGTGGCTGAAACCTTGACCAGTCCGTCATCGGAAACGGTAGCTTGTGAAGACACATCTATTGAGTTTCCAGTTCCTGTCTAACTCTGTTATCAACCTGTCAATTGTTCGGGGCGTTGCCAAGTTTGGTTATTGCAGACAGAGGGAGCCAATCCTGCAATGTGCAGGTCTGATTGGTCACTTGTGTTTTAAATCACAAAAGCATAACCCCTTAGCTCTACAAATCTGCTTAAAGCCAATTTCTGTGATTCCAAAATGCCACATCAGTGAGAAAAAATGCCTTCTTCGCTTCCTCCCTGAAGGAATGAACTCTCACAGATGTGTGGCTGCAGTACAACAGTGGGTTTTTTTTTTTACCCCTGTTTCTTCAAGAGCTAACCCAGATGAGTTTCCACACCTCACATGAACTGGATCAAAGATCTGGGGATCAGCCACAGAGTCTCCTGGCTGTACAGTGTGTTCTCAGTACACTCACATTTGACTCATCAGCTTGTTTGGTTGGTTGCGGTGTGGTCCAGGAGGGCATTTTTGAAAACCAGGGCAATGGGGGATGACACAGCAGCAGGGGGTGCAACCCGACTTTCTACTGGCACCGCTGAGCTGGGAGTCCTTGAGGAGGCAGGGGAGGGTGGGGAGGGGGCTGTGAAAAGCCCAACATGCCTCGGCACATGAAAGGCCTGGTTGACCATTCCCTTTGAGGCGACTGGATGCAAGGCGCATGCCACTGGCAGGTCAGAACAAAGATGGGCTTGATTGTGAAAGAGAGAGAGAGAGAGAGAGAGACCCCCCCTGGGTAGGAGGGCTCTGGACTGGGAGCGACACCAAGCTCATCTTTATCCACTCATTGGCCTTGTTTAATCAGCAGCCATCCGGAGAGAGCAGATATCAAGACAATATGGTCATAGGCAACTGCCAGCCATTTTTTTAATGAATAACTAGTTAATAAAAAATAACCCCTGTTAAACTCAACCGTTAGAGCCTGGATTGATCGTTTTTATCATGTCTTTTGTAATGGAAGAAACAGCATCTGTAAGTTACACACAAATATAAAGCATGAAAACTTGGCCTTTCTTGTTTTTGTCTTTGATCCAGAAATGTTGAGAATAAGACCAAAAGAACGAGAGCAGGATGGAGTAAATGCCACCCACTCGCCTCTTTGTGAACAACGCTCTGATGCTGGGAGTAGTTCACACTGGCTTCTGCCATACATACATGTGAAGAAGCATTGAAATCAGCTTGGCTTAGAAGTGACAATATAGAAACAAACAGAGAGTGTCTTAAACTTTGAAGGTACTGTGAGCTTTTCTCAACAAAACTGTCAAGACTGGAGGCCTGGGGGAACAAACACTGGGGCCCTTCAAATGTCTATTGTGTCCTCTTTAGCTTTGTGCTATAAAAAGAGATTATGCCTTTTTGGTTGTACAATCAACAAAAATAAGCACCTCATCTCCTTTGGCACCTAAATTATTTGTTCTAATTTACGTTTTAAATGTGTTTAATGTTAATGTGAAGATTAACAGTTTGGTTGGGCAAAGGGCACTGGGTTCAAACAGGAGTTTGAACAGGGCAGGAAATGTTTAAGTGCAAAGAAACATTAAGCATTTAGAGTACATCTCTGGCTGATCACAAGACATACTGGTAAACATCAAATCTCCACATTGGTCCTCAAGTCTTAACATTCGTACTCAACGAAACTGCAATATACTTTGGGAGCTGTGCAACTTCAACCTGAATTTCAATTTGACAAACTTTCTCAAACCTCCTCTACAAAGGCTCATACTCGTAAGAGAGAATCCAATCAGACAACCAAGATTTTGGAGCTGAAAAGCAGAAATTTCAGAGCACTGTTTTTAATGTGTGCTTCACATTTGACTAAAGACAATGTCAAAACATCCAGGTTCTCTTCCATTGCCGTTTAAACAATTGGGACTTTTTCCGGCTCTGAAAGCATTGCCAGCCAGATCGCTTTAGCCACATAGCCTGAAGACATCTGAGTTTCTGCAGCTACTGCCAAGAAAATGCTCCCTCACAGGCTCGCGAAGCCTAATGAATATAACGTTCATACATCCTTCATATTGGAGACAGGAAAAAGAGACATTAAAAATAATCCTATTAATAATAATTGTTTACACCATGTCGTGATAAAAACAGCAAAAGGAGCATACTTTAGAAACAACAATGAAAATTGTAATAAACAATCAGTCTGACAAATTTGGCTGTTTTCGTCGTGGCCTGTCCTTCAATAGAAAGACAAGTAGAGTGAGGGGACATGGCCTTTTTCAGGAATTGAGGGTCTTTTGGGGGAGTCACAAAATGGAATGTCCTTTTTCATGTCATGCTCTGTCTGCCAAAGTTCCCTTGTCCCAAAGCAGGCCGGACCCATCACCTCTCAGACAAAACATGGGATCCATACAGAAACATGAGTGGATGATACACTGCTAAAGGAAATGGTTTTGTTTCATTTCTATGTTTCATGAGGAGACTTGGACTGAAGGAATTTGCATTTGTGTTGCCCGCAAAGGGGTCAGGACATTTCTTTGATAGTAAAACAAGGAAAAAAGATCTTCCAGTCTTGATGCTAAAATGGTTCAAGTTAGCTGCAGTTCAGTCCATTTGTCGTTGTTGTTCCTTTCGTCAAGGTCCCAGATTCTTTGGGCATTATATAACATAATCAAAAACCTGTAACGCTGATGTTTCTTTTCCTTTATTTGGTTCTACATTCCCCTTAGAGTTCTGCAGAGCTGGCCAAGTCAAGCCTCTGCTAATACTTCGGTATCTTGGGGTGGTTGTGGTTCTTTTAGGACACTGAGGAAGGGGAGAAGGGTTGGGAAGGGTGTGGAAGATGAAGGATCATCAGGGTTTGTTTAGCAGTCCCTCTCCCAGAATGCTCTAGTCCAGGGGTTCCTGTTTTATCCTGATGGGAGTGTTGATGGACAGACTCCTCCGGTCCTCGCGACATAATACGTACTCGCTGAACTGGGAAGAGTCCACACCGCCTCCACAGGATGCTGCCACGCTGAAACCCTTCTGGAAGAGACGTTCCAGCACCTAAAAATAGAAGTAGGTGAGAGGGAAAGAGGACATTAATGACAGAATAGCCAAGTCAATAGCTAAAATGAACTGAGAAGTAGCCTATTACTCATATTGTCATCTAAAAAAAACAGCTCTGCTTATTAGTGCAGGAAACACTCTAATCGTATATGTTGTCTCTTCTTGAAAACTTAATCTCTTTGTGAACATGTGTATTGTCTATCTTGACAAAAAACTGATTAGAGGATAGATAACACTCTTATATCTGTACCCAAATGAAGCTAACACCTGCTGCTAGCTAACTTAGCTAAGCAGCTTGGCTAACTCCTAGATTTCTTGTAGGTGTTGTCACAATTTAACGAAGGAGTTACAAAGTTGACTCAATTGAGTATGGAAACTGCTGCTTGTTCCTGACTTTGGAGCAATTAGCTAATGTTAGCACCTTTTTTTAAGTATTTGCGATAGCTTGCTGCTGGTGCTGGCTTTGTATTAACCAGATACGGTAGCGCTACTTATCTTTGTATTTGGAGTTTTAGAAATACTTTTCTGCTTGGGAATGTAGACTTTTCCAAATAAAATCCAACCACAGCATGTTCATTCTTCCATAATGATTACTTAAAGGCAAAGTTAAGTGACAGAATTGTAAAGGTGTTCGGTGCAGCTGCTCGTAAATTAGCAGCAAATATATACGTAAGACTGTGATATAGGTATCATTTTTTGATATCCATCCAGCCTCACATCAACCTCATATCTTCATCAGCACTGACATACACCTTGTGTCATTAACCTCCCTCTCCGCCAATCACACCCAGTGATGGACTAAAAACCAGGGGGCACTCCGACATCACACCACCTCTGCAATATTCATGCTGCTTTCTCTGGATTGGCTACTGAACCGAGGGCCATGAGCTCAAAGGGATGAGCAGAGCGAGTGTGTGTGAGTGAGGTGTGTTAAGGGGCTGAGTGAAGCTCAGCGTGGTGATTACTGGAGCTCCTAATTTGAGTAATGAGGCAGGGGTGAGAGGAGAAGTGAGGTCCGTGAGCTAAGGCGTAAGAGAGAGAGCTACGTGTGGGGAATGAGGATGGGGGAGTTATGGGGTGATCTGTGTGAGGACAAAGTGTCGGTGCTGCAGGAAAGAACGGGAGACGGGGATGCTTGTAAGCCCTCCAGTCTGGGCATTCATACCACACTGCAGTCCAAAATGCAGAAACACGTGAACTCCAAGATCACTTTTCTCTCGGTAATCCTTGTGGGATGTTGTTTTTTTTTTTTTTGGAGGGGGTATATCTAAATCCCAGTGCGAGGAGTGCTGTGTATTTACTTATTCCCCCGTCCTTTTTAATGGAGTGTGCAGTGCATGGAAATGAAAGGTCTTGCCGAGGGCCAACCCCCTCCCCCCCACCACCCCCCCCTCCTGATACAGAGCCAAAGAAGTTTTCTACAAAATACATCAGTTTCTTCAGACTCTTAAACACACTTGCACTCCTGGGGAAGGATGACCTCTCTAATTACAGGAGCCGGAGCCCCATTGGAGGGCTGACGTGGGGCGTTTAGGCCTCCAGGTCAAAGTGCTGCAGCCTCCCCCTTACTGAGGATTAGCACCAGCAGAGAAGAACAGATAAGGCACATGCAAACTCACAGAGAGTCATGATGCCACATGTGTAGGAATGCTAACTTAAAAATGCTAATTCCAACATGCATATTCACACACAAACTTGTTGAACAGACCAAAACAACCCTCCCCCCAAAAAACAACACTACCTGATTAAAACTAAAATGTTGGCTGACGTGCAACTTGTAAACAGAAAGGACCACTTGGAGAAGTTACCCCCCCCCCCTCCTCCTCTTCCTCCTCCTTTTTTGTCCTCTGGCCATACGCCAACGACAAACTCTGTAATTTGTGAGACAGAAGGGGCGGCAGACAGCTGATGGTGAGGATGGCTAATTAAGAGACCTGCCCAAGCATCAAACACTCCCAAATCCATGACAGACGACGGAGGAGCCTAACGATTATGGAAATGATATTACATAGCCGTCTTTGATCATTGCATCACATTGCATTTTTCCCCATCATCTCTTAACGCATGTGGGACTCTGTCATGTTCGGCAATGAATTTGGTCACAGAGGAGAATGGCCCGATCAATAAAGATAGTCTGAAAACACTTTTATCATTAATGCCTGGCAACAAAAAGACTTAAGGATATTATTACAGATAGTTGTAACTGATTCAAGAGTACTGTAATGACTATAAGAAGCCATAAAAAAGACTTCACATCCAGTTTGACACAGTGAATTAGAGCCACGGGGGAATAAACAATACATTGAATAATTAAGATAAACCAAGCAAAAGGTTCCAATGTCCATGGGACAATGTCCTGAAATCAGTCCCAGCTGACAGCAGAAAGTACTGCACCCCTCTTAAAAAGCTAACACATGTCCTGGTGGCTCAGTTCAGCTCTACATACTTGTGACTGCAGGCTTTCAGACTCGTGTTGTACTTATGCAGATTTCTCTGCTTACTTTCCTGCCTCACTTGAGCGAAACCAAAGCAAAATACACTAACAGCAGGGTTGCATGAGAGCAATCTGATGGATCCAAGTTTCTTTCCGACCGTGATGCTTTCCGTGAAAGAGAGAAAAAATTGCTAATTAGCATTATTTGTTTTTGAAATTGTAATGTCATTTTTGTTCAGCTTAGAGATTCAGTCCAGATTTGCCGTGATAAAATGTGAGGTGTGTTGCTTCCACTATAGAGCGCTTTTCTGTTTAAGTAGAAGAGTGTTGTATATGCAGTCCTTTTACCGCTTTTCATTTGCAGAACAGGAAATCACAACACGGCAGTATAACGTGGATTCAGAAACACTTTGCTAAAGTTTCACCCTGAACTTTCCCTCATCTTGTTCTTTGTGATCAAAACAGAAAGCTGAATTAAAGCATCTCTTCATCCTCTTTATCCCCAGTGATGATTCAGAATTTGAATAATAATAAACTTTCCTTTCTGTTACAGGGTCGATTGGCTGCACTGGGATCTGCCCCCAAAACAGACATATATACCATTGAACACAAACCCTTTTCACAGAGCTGTCACTCAAGCGAGGGTCAGAATGGGGAAAACTCACTCCTCCAAACTCCCAGCTCTGTATATTTCCAACACAGGCAGGAATCAGTGGTTGATTCTCATGGCTGGAAACCGGAGCACAATGTAATATTGATGGCCACCAGAGTGCAACACACACTTGCAGCTCCTCTCAGGAGGCGCTGGAAGACACTTGCACCTTGTGGCACAGGGTTTAGAGTTGATTGACACGTCTGATACACACACACACACACACACACACACACACACACACACACACACACACACACACACACACACACGCACAAACTATAGCATGCGATGGGCGCTGCACTCAGGGGGTCGCCTTTGTTTAACTATGCAAAGTCTTTCATACATGACATGGAGCGCTAACTGCAGTCTCTGCATCGCATCCTCCGCTTATCACAAGCATCTGGCACAGAACAGCCGAGAAGCTCCAACTATTTCTCATTCTCTCAGCCATCTGCCAGCTTTTTCAGGATTCACATTTCAAAAACATTTGGAAATTAGAAAACATTCTTAAAGCATTTGTGGCACAATTTCACGTGACCGTGTTTGTAAAGCCGACGAGACAGAGCTCGCCATTACAAATGACTGCTTCAGGGTCGCTAAACAGGGACACGGAGTGTAGTAACGTTCAGGTTAGCTCCAGAAGGAAAAGCAAGAAAGGATGAAACATGTTTCTCTACATGACTCATTCAGAATTATTTTATTCATCATATCTTGGCTTTCTGCTACTAGAATAATGTTCACCAGATGTGTAACAAAGCAAAGTATATATACCTAAGCACAGAACTTGCAAATTTAAGTTTTTTACACTTAAATGAGTAGTTCCATCTCATGCAAATATCTACACCAACTTCAGGGAGAAATGTATTTTTTAATACCACTACTCTGATTTCACAGGAGTAGTAACTGCTGGATTTTGTATTTTTAAGATTTAATAAAATCATCAGCTTTAAAAATATGATATCTTACTTAATGTGAATAAAACAATAAACACAAGAATATATTAGTAAAAAAGATTTGGTGACATTTGTAATGATCCTTTTTTAAAATATGGACGCTTGAAGTAAATCTTGTTAATGTTGTGCTCTGACTTAAGTGTGAGTTGAAATGTAGAACTTAAATACTTTGTATTTGTGTTCTAATGTGGATAGAGACCCTCTTTATTCTATTTCAACAGTGTTTATTAGAGACAACGTATACTGAACTAAACCTCCAGCATATACTGAATTGACCTTGCGGGATGTGAAAAGAGCCCTGGCATAACTTCTGTGTCTTTATGTATGTCTCATTGGACGACAATGAGACGAACTTCAGACCAGAAATTTGATTAATTACTTCAAGGTCACAAATGATATCACTTATTTTATCACTCCACTATCTCAGTCATCAATAAAATTGTGGGCAAAGTGTTCCATTTAATCCCCTGTCTAAATCATACGAAATAACAGAAAACAATATAAATATATGCTGTATGTAGTAATCCATTTTTAATTATATTGTAAGTTTTACTCAATAAACTTGGGGAAAAATGAACAGGTTATCTGCAAATTAAATCTAATCCAAGTCTATTTATTTTTGCTAAAACTGTGTTCAAATTTGGAAATCATCTGAATAATAATCTCTCTTTTTGTTCTATTTTACCTTAAGGGTTATCTTAATGCCTCGTGGTTAATGCCAGAGTCACTCTTTGAAAGATCAACTTGACACGAGATAACCATGCTGCCTCCAAAAGATTATATTTGTGAAACATTTTTCTGGCAGCAGCTGCTGAAGGTGTGAGCAGACAACATGGTCCAGTGTTTCTCTTCCCCACGCTGCAGGTTCAAGTGCAGCCTGTTGAGCCTCAGTGCCCTACACTGTGCACTCAGTCACACAGTCTCTAACCACAGCTGTGCTAATGTCTCATTCTGCCGCTGAAGAGCAGAGCGGAGGTGTTTGCTTGGCCTCGCCTGCTCTGATGTGCTTTCTCTCTCCACCGACTCAGGATTGATGGAGTGGCAGTGTGACATGTAAGAGAGTGTTGCGACGTGTTGCGTTCCCTGCCTGGGCGGCAGGGGGGACAGGGAGGCCCTCTTTTGCGACCGCCTCCGCTGTCACATTGATGAAGGACGGATTGGCTCCAGTCTGATCTGAGTGCTTCATCACAGTGATGTATGGACAGCCGGGCGAGCTCCAGTTCTGGGACTCGTGTTTGTGTGTACACCTCTGTGGCTCTTTAGCTAAATGTTTTCCTTCCTTTAAGTGCCTCTGCTGCTCTCTGTTTCTCTCCGCTGGATCTACATCATAGTGCAGGTGGTTTGCATTATTTCCTAAATTCCACTCATGACTTCATGGAGAATCACAAGCCAAGGTGGGGCTCTTCATTCTCACTCTCGCACATTCAAAGACACGAGATGAGGGTGTTAAGAAAAGGCTACATTCACAGCTTACATTTGAATATTCTATGTCTTTCCTTCAAGTTATTCTCCATGTAGACAGACACAAACAGAAATAATTTTCCTGTTTTTATACATAGGGCTACAACAGAGAATTAATTAAAGAATTGCTTAATAATTATACAAATAATCAGTTTATCATTTAGTTCGCAAAAAATACAAGGAAGTTACCAAAATAAAATCTCATCACATTTTCCAAGGGCCAAATGTGACATATTCAACCTGCTTCTTATGTCAAAACAACAATTACAATCCAGGACTTTTCATTTACACCGTGAAAAAGCAGTAACTCCTCACATTTAGGACGCTTGAAACCAGCAAATGTTTGACCTTTTACCTGGAAATATTCTCAAAACAGTTACTTCTTCATCCTGGGAGTGGTAGACTAATTATCTTGGGATCAATTATTCAATCGATCTTGCAGCTCTTCTAGTATTTCTCCAAGTAAAATAAGATGTTTTAATGGTTTCTTAAACATGTTTCCTTGTTAAATAAAGCCCTACGAAAGAGAGGCCCTGTAATCCTGTAAATATCACCAAGTAATTTAGATATTATACTCCAAAGTCTAACAAATTTCACCTACCTCAGGGATGTTACTTTATCTTTCAGTGAATAAAAACCGAATAATAAACTGGAAAAACTAGGCTGCTGTGTCTAGTGTACAGTAAAGTATTGAGAAATGTCATGTTATCTCATTGTGACCAACGTATCACAAGGTCGAGCAGTTTCCAGCCTGAGGGAAGACGGCAACAGTACCTTAGCTTCAATAAAATCATTTGAGACGAAAATGAATTCTCTACGCCCGTGACATCATAAATTGAAAACAGAGGATATTTAAAAGTTGTTGCATATCCATCTCTTTCTTGTCGGGACCTCAAAAACCGGTCATAAACACTCTGTTCCAGACTGCGCTGTATTCCGCAGGCCTGCTCGTCCTCTGTGGGCAGGGTGTGGCTGTGTGTGTGTGTGTTCCCCTGGGTTGGGGTCCAGGGCTGAAATCAGATCAGAGGCTCATTGTCTGGCGGGTAAGACAAGGATTACTTTCCTAACCTTCTCATGCCTTCACGCAACAATGAGAGGGAGGACAGAATGAGTAAGTTGTTTAGAAAAATCTCCCCTTACACTGAAAAACACCTCCATCTGCTCCTCGTGTCCTCTTCTACATCGACTCAATGAACCGGGCCCTTTGACTGTGCTTGCGGTGCGTTAACTTTTCTTTTTTTTTAACTGAATTTTGTGTATTTGTGTTTCTGTAAGGGGCTAACATGAGACAAAACAATGCAAGAGGCCATGCAGTGAGACAAAAGGGAGCATCGCTTACAGGAAACCTGGAAGATCCATGTCCTCTTCCTCTAAGCGGTTTGTCTGAGAAGAGGATTTCAGCTCAGCTCGCCTTCAAACACAGCAGCCCCAATAAAGAGCTAAATATTAAAAACTCGTTTCAGACCATGTAAGTCTGATGCACTCACACTCCATAACCAGTCTCTCTGGTAAACAGAGGGGGAAAATGTTGTGTTAGTTGATGCGGCCAATTAATTATATTGCAAGTCATTTAAAAATCTATAAAAGAAGTATAAACCGGTTTAGGCTGTTTGAGAAATTGTAAGTATGGTATTAAAAAATGCAATACGTGTATTTCAATTGCCTTGAGCGGTGTTATATTGGAGTCTTTTTTAAAAAAAGGAGCTGTGTCTTAAAAAGGAGTAAAGCGTAAATTATGCATATCATTTCCCCCCCCTCTCCATTCCTCTTCTTCATTTTTTCGCAGGAAAACATGGCCGCAGTCCACACGTGCTCTGTCCCGCTCGCTCGCCTCTCCTCCCTGGAGGTGGTCTCGCACACTGGCAGGGGGGAGGTGTAGGTGTCAGAGCGCGCTAGCCTGCCTGGGAGAAGCTCCCTTTGGGTGCTGGAGGGGGGGAAGGCTCGTCTATGTGTTGGCCTGTTCATTGCTGTGGGCACCAGAGTGTGTTATATCGAGCCTGTGGTGTGAGGCTGTGATGTTTCCTCCCTCTCACGGAGCTCTCTGGGTAACACAACTGTAAAACTAGTTTTCTGAAGTTTGAAAGAGTTGGAAGTCTGAAAAGATTTTTTATTTATCAGACAGACTGCATGTTTAAAAGTGTGTATTTTGGTGTAATATGTCATATATATACGTAATGAATGATACTGAGCTCAGTTTTTAAATGAGATTCAATCATTAAAGCTGTGTCAGAATGATAAACCTTAACAAACTCTGTACACCTGTCATGATGCTAATCTGTCTACAAACTGACTGTAGCTCAATCTGAGCAGCTCGTATCCCCTTTCTTGACATCAGGCTCTAAACTACAGTGGCAAAATGCAGCACAAAGGGCCCCAAATCAAGCTAACAGCCTGAAAGCAACTTTTTAAGGTGGTTTTCTGGCTTATAAAACAACTAGTATAGTCTTCATAGATTAATTGTAGCTTACTATTTTTCCTTCTTTGACCTTCTGAGTTCACATTAAATTCAATAATAACAGTGGCATACAAGTACATTATCACTACTTTTAATTTGAATAGTTTATACAACTGAACGTGTATGGAGATGACATTTTGATAAACATGTGCATTTGCTCAGTAGCCTACACTGAGGCCTCATTTCTGAAAACTAGCTAAGCACCTAGAAACGATAAGCTAATGTTAGTAGCAGCTTGGCACTTGGCCACAACGCATCCTGCTTACCCCTTATTATTGTTTGTTTTTCTTCCTAAAAATGTAATGATAAAACACTAACTGCTGACATTATAGCTATGGCTAACGTTCAACTCTCTGCTAGCACTGACTGTTGTTTGCTAATGTCATAATTTACATGTTCTACTTTCTGCTTTAAAAAAATAACTCATAGTGACAGCCAGATTCTAAAAAATTATAAAGCAGACTACTGTGATTTGTGGAAGAAAAGACAAGTAGATTTTTAGGGTAGCTATTCAATTATCTTGACTGATAGCTGTTACCACATTTAGGCTAGGTCTGTATGAGTTGTTTACTGATATCAGTATCTGAAAAAGACTCTAATTGTAACCTGAAAATTACATCTTTAAACTGAAAGAGTATAACAGGAGTGAGAGTTTAAATCGATAGTTATTTTTCTATTTTAGCACCAATGTCCTGTTAGCAAGTGATCTAAAGCTTAAGCAACAGAGGAGCTGTACGTAGCCCAGCTGTCAAAGAGCTGGTTGCACAGTAAAAATAACAGCCAGGTGTGTATTATGTGTTGATGGGTGGTGGTGAAAAATGGATGGCTTGCTCAGCAAAATCATTTGCTGTATAAACAAAGGTTTTTTTTTAAAAAAAGGCACTACTGTGTGTGTTAAAACACACAAATCATGCTGACTCACTCATGGCAAAGTTTCTATGAGAAATGTGCGCCCTTCGGCTAACCTCAAACACTGAACTGATGCCATAAAACACCTACGGTGCCAGTCACAAACTTCCTTGTATAGACAGAATGTTTACAAGGGTTTCATTATGAGAGCTGAGCATTTCAAGGAATTATCTTCATCTCCTGGTGTGGAGATTGTATCCTTAACAAATGTGCTATGACCTTGTTAATATAAGGAAACACGTAAAGTCTTTGTTTTACACTGCAACTACATACTATTACTTTATTTTCAGAACTTAAAAACTCATGCATTAAAAAATTATTTAAACATTTTTATTGCACACTTGCCGAAGGCAGTATTAAACCCTGCATGCTGCAAACTGTTTCTACTGGTCAGTGGTCGCTTGCAGAGGACACAGAGATAAGCTTTATGGTTAGCATAGATGTTATCCTGATGTATGTCCATTTGTAAACAGAGTACCAGATAGCCAGCTTTGTCACCAGATGTTCACAGCTGTGTGAGAACCTGGAACTAGTTCTAAGTTTGATTTCATGTTTTTTTGACTCTCAGAAAAGGCAAGCTTTTTGGGAATACAGCACTACTAGACATTGATACCGTCAAACTAGAGAGAGCATACTGACATTTGCAGATATGACACCAGTGAACAAGATGGAAATAGCTTAAATGAGAGTGCTAATGCTGATGAGAATGCTCTGGTTTGAATCTGATATCATGGTGCCACCATTAACAAGCACACATAATAACTGGCACTCAATTGATATTTCTGCAATATAATTTCAGCTTAAATAAAATGTATTAAATCAATGAATAGATGTATTCATTAAAAGGGCTCTCTCTGTTGTTCAGTGTGTGTTATGTAGAAATAATGCGGTTTATAATAAAAGTTCCACACACAGTAGGAGAGGACAAAACAAACAGAGAAGTATTTCTAGACTGTTACCTGGACAGAGTTGAGTCTGCAGTAGCCATTGAGGGGGAAGCGGATGACGTGTGTTGGGTCCTGGTTCCAGCCAGCATTGACTGAGTTACACATGACGTCTCCGGTCTCAGGAAAGATCTCCTCAATGAGCACCTTTTCCCCGCTCAGGGCGATCCTCTCGCCCAGGTCTGGGGTGACACGAACAACCAGGCAGTCACAGGGCTGGGCCATCCGCCGCTGCTCCCGCTCCTGCTTCCAGCGCTCCAGCTCCTTGATCATGGGCGTCAGCTGGTAAAAGCGTGCCTCCTCGTACAGCAGGTGGAAGTCCTATACAGTCAGAGGAGCGGGGAAATTAGTGCAACTCATTTGCATGTGTGTGTACGGTCCTCTTGGCTATATGTGTGACTAACTGCATTACAGTTCATCACCAAGGTCGTCCGGACAAAACGCCACACTTACAGTGTACAGCACTGTGCAACATTATGACGAAAAGAATGGAAGATATGTTTACAGAGTATCCTAGTAGCTCCCCCACAGCAACTAATGACAAAGTGTCCTTGAGCAAGACACTTAACCTCTAATTACTCCACTAGAACTGCTCAGGCTGCTTCTGCTCTTTGACCCCTCTGCTGTAGTGAAACAGTGCGCTACAGCATGAGAGAACAAATAACTGATGGAACAGTGATAAATATAGTCCAACCGTTTTATAGATATTTTTCTGAAACAAATTTCTGTGTGGCAGATAACAGCAGTGTCCCTTGTTTTAAGAAACCATCAGAAAAGGGCTCGTCGTGACCCATAAACTTGTTACTGAAGCTTCTCACTTGTTCAAATGTATTCTTATGCACACATGGTTATAATATCTGGAAAAACAACATCTTAATAAAATGTAATATAAATGTAAAAAGAAACAACTTTTGTTTATTCTTGTTAACTAAAGAATATCTGATTAACACAAATTCAAAAACAGCACAGGGTTTGACATCTCACTGCCTTGTAAAACACATTTAAGACAGAAGAACAATAAACCAGGATTAGTGATGGCTTCCGACCAGCAGGACAACACTCTCCATAAACAAAGCATAGCCATGCTGCAGCTCTCCTCTACGGTAGCTCTTGGCAGAGCTGAGCTAGCCCTTAGCATGTTTCAGTGAGCCGACTCCAGAAAGGCCATCAGTGGGGGCTCCAGTGAAGTGGGATGGTGCATTCCTGTGTGTAGACAGTCTGCAGCAGATTGTCTGCCTCTCCCTCCTGGGTAGGGCTTGCTGGGGGCCATTTGCCCCGGCGCTCTTGCCTCTAATTTCCCATAAGACCAGATGGCACCATCATTCACCACTACCATTGCAAATACAGGGAGGCGGAGGTTTCGCTATTGGAAGCAGACAGGAGGTGAGGAAAAGATATGTGCAAGTGAACATGAGGACAATCATCAGCCAAGGAAGGATTTTAATGTATTCCTCATATGGAGGCAGTTTTATGTTAATGAGGCTCATGGCCCGATGTTAAGCTCCTATTAGAACAAGATTTAATTAGGTAACACCTAAATGCAGCAAATATATCTGTTAAACAATTAGTCATTAATAAATCTGTGTTCTGATTAGTTTCTCAGTGACGTAGAATGACAGTTTCATTCATTCTCAGTTTCTCATCACTGACAGTCAAAGTTACATGATGCCCATGTTCCTGTGCTAATGGCTACAATGTGTTTAAGTGAATGTACATTATCAAAACACAACGCAAAAGTGTGTGTAACATTTGAACAGCTACTAGAACAGATAGAGGTTGCACATATTGGTAAAAATGAAAAGTCTAAACGTCCTTGAAAAGGTGAGACGATCTGTTTTTGTGCTGCGGAAACAACATATGCTTCGTATTGTCTGCATCATTGGTGTTGTTAAGCGGGGATCTGAAAAAAATAGTTTTTCCTCTTCCCTTCTCAGGACCACTGCTGGGTATAGAAACAGAGCATGGCAGCAGACAGCATATTCATTAACCCTGCTGCTTTTGTCAGACTCTTTAGCCTTGCAAAGCCTAACCTCCATCGTCTAAGCTGTGCCTTCATCTGAGGGGAGAGAACGACACCCAAAAACAACTCTATCTGGACGAGTGTTGACGCAACACATCTTAAGCTGACGGTCTAATATTTAAGATTTCAGAATGCGAAAAAAGGGAGGGAGTGGGTCCTTTTTTTTCCCTTTTTCTCTTCCTTTCTCCCTGTCTTTTTCTCTCCCGGCCCTCTTGCTGCAGCTGACAAAACTCATACTGAGACGCTCTCCTCCAGGCGGCTCTCTGTATCAAAGTGTAGCTCCTCATCCTTCACAGGTCTGAAGCCATGGATGGATATGTTTTTAACAGGGGTCTGTCTGCGAGGCACTTTAGTCATCCTGAGCAACGCACAAAACAACAGAGTAATCCTAAGCACTAAGGTGAGGATGAGAGGGAGACGGGGGCCAGCAGCTCCGTCCTGGCTGCTGGAGCTGCTGCTACCGCTGCCAGCTCTTACGAGACAATTCATCCCCCAATCCTGTGTCCAGACAGCCCGTTTGAGCTTCAAAATAATGATCCGACCTGATCGCCCACCGGCAAGGCAACATCTCAGGGAAGGACAGAGGGAGGGAGAGACGGAGAGGGCGGCAGAGAAAGAGAAGAAGAGGAGGAAAATGATAGAAACTGTCACTAAGAGGGAGTTGGAGAACTGATAAAGAACCGTATGTTTTGGACAAAAAATGAGGAAAGCCACACAAGTAGACATGCCACTGACAAAAAACAAAAAAAAACCCAACCTGCTACAAACTATATAACAGCATCAACAAAAAATAAAAGCAAACGCTCTTTCCTATTATTTTTAAAAGATGTGATACCAAAAGTAACACAAAGCATTATTGATTTAAAGTGCAATAAAAGCCTGAATACAGCGTGCCAGAAAGCACTCACTCTTAACGGTTTATAACCATGCCCTCGATATGACTGAGCATTGCTTACACTCTTGTGATTAATTGTGGTTTGAATAATGAGATGAGGGAGGATATTAATAGTGAATATTTTGTTCCACTGATGTAGGCTGAAAATTTTCTTTTTCCTATTCTGCTCAGACTTTCACATTGATTTAACAAAACACACAGCGCCGTGGCTGCCAGCAGCAGAACAGAGCCAGCCCTCTGGCGACGGCAAGCCTGATTGTGTTCAGATAAGGACATGCTCAATTCCGCCTCGCACTATTTGCATTTTTTTCTCTCCGGCTTCACGCAAATTGAAAGGTATGCAGATCAACACGGGCTTATACGAGGGGATCGTAATGGGTTGAAACAATGAGGTCCAATGCATTTTCTTCAACCACTGTGCCTGATTGGACTGTCAAGACTTCACAGAGAGGGAGGGAAAAGGATGAATAAGAAGGGGAAAACTAATCGCTACTGAGTCAGGCCATCATTTGCTGAAAATATGCAGGGCTTTCATGTTGTGTTCTGTTGTCTGAGGTTTGGCTCTTGTTCAGACTATCCGTGAGGCCTGGAGAGTTAGCCTGCGGCTCTGTGTGGCTCGGCCTCGCCTTGTTCCCTTGTAGAAGAATGATGAACAAGCGGCAGCCCGGTGGAAAGGTCACGCAAGTTAAGGCGGAGAAGAAGTGAAGAATAGAATACACCTAGGAAGCAGCAGCAGCACTGAATAAAAACCTTGAACAGGATGGAGCTGGAGGCAGAATTTATAATGATTTTGACAAAGCCACTCGAGTTGTGTGGACACTTCTGTGGCGTGTGACTAACCCTGCACGGTTTGGTTTAAAGCTGCACTAATCAATATTTTTATTTCAACAATGGATTAACTATTGTATGAAAGAGGTCTGCTCTGAGTGACGAACAAAAAGAGATGTTCCAACATTGTCTCGCAGAAAATGAAATTACACTTGATTACAAGGTAGTAGTGGCACAAAATATGTTGAAATGTGTGTTGGAACATTGGAAACAATTGACATTGCAAAGTGCACAGTTTGGTCTAAAATGGGAACTGAACTCCAACCTCCTCGTTGGTAGTCCTCTGTTCGTTTTAAGACTATTTATATCTCAACACCAGACTTAATAAAGGAATCACGGAAACCCCACTAAAAAAAACCTATTTGACTTTGAAAACGCTTTGAAAAGGTTTGTGTGCTGCCTGCATGTAATTTAACAAATGATGACATTTTTCTATTTCTATGAGACAAGATTAAAACCTGTTGATTGGTTCAAACCTTTATCACATGGTTCTGCAGTTCCTCATAGCCCTTTAGCTACCTTCAACTTCATTGTTTTGGTTGAATGGCTGCAGCAACTCTGATGTTCTGAGTTACTCTTTCCAGGCTCATTTTTCAGTTACAATGCCATTGAACAGAAAACAAATGTCAGACTGACACTGTTAATGACTTCAGAGGAACAGAGTGAAACCTGCAGCTACTGTGGAGGAGACCAAACCAGAGCTACAAGGAAAGAAGATACTGAACTCGTGTTCTGAGGTGGACAGAATGAAAAATATACTCTCCATGTTGCTCCATGACTGGACCAACATATTCCTCATGTAATTTTAATGCATATAAACTTGAATAAAAAAAATAACAATTAAATATTATTTTGTTGAAAAGAGATTTCAGGAAAAAAGGATGCTAAAATTTGGGGTAACTACTCGATCTGTTTACTCAAATTCCCTCAGGATGCCGAGGTCCGTGTCTTTGGAAGCTCAAACAAGTAGTGCTGGACATGTCCACCCTCCACTGGAGCAGGTAGCAGGAGTTTCTGTCTGTTGAGAGAGGCTTGGTTTTTGGAAAATAAACAGACACACCAACAGCCTTCCAGAGCAAAGATCACTACTTCATGATTTTGAAGCTGAATTTGATATTCTTAGCCATTTCTTTCATTACAGAAATGTGGCCTGGTGGTTAATAACACGGTCCTCTGCATGGCAAACTTAAAAAACACACATGTTATTGCCTTACACTGACTTTATAGTCATACCAAGACTGACAGCACTAGGAGGCAGGAGTGTGCAGCCTGGTAAAATGGAATAAATGTGACGTCAGTGACTATTTTGAGTGGGATCTGGTCACAAGATATTGTGGTATTTCACCTGTAGAAACCGCTGGGTATAAAAGACAAACCAATAAACAACAGCACAGGGCTTTGGGGGAACACATCACAAGGCCATGCTAAATTGGCCTGTTAGCATTTTACCTCCACACCACAGTAAACTCCAACCGAGTCTGTTCCATATTTCTAAGTTTCCTAATTACTTCTTATGCCTACATTACAGGTAATTAATGTGTTGAGTGGGAGGAGGAAGATCTACATGAGGCATTGTGAAAAAATAACTCTGTTGTGAACATCCACCCCCTGAGAGCACAGAAAAACCTGAATAAACACAAACATGTTCACACTTTGCTGTATTATCATGAGAAAAAATCAAGAATTTCACACAACACCACTGTGTCTCAGCACAGATGGGTTTATGTACTCAAGCTTTCTTTATGCTGCGATGTTGCTCAAACTGTGCGAGGTGATGGTGCACACAAGTACACACAATACAGTATGTTGTGTTGTGGATATGTACCTTGAAGTCATCTGGAAGGAGCAATTTGCTGGTCCTGAGGAAACTGAGAATGTAGCGGAATATCTCGCCGTCCCGATCTATGAAGTAGTGCTGCTTCAAGCTGTCCAACACGATGGGCTCGGTGCCATTGAACAGACGACTGATTCTGAAAATTGAAATACACACACACAAACAGGCACGCACGCAGCCAGCCGCACACACAAACACACACATAGAGAAAATGGAATGAGCCAGCTCCCTTCAAATGCATGAAACAATTACCCTCCATTTATTTTTCAATTTTATTAGCACTAAGCTTGAAATGCATTAGCATCCCAGGTTGAAACAAGGGGCTTTAGGCACCGTTCCTCCATTCCAGACTTGTTTGAAGTGTCCCTTCTGCAGAAAGATTATAACAACACACACGCTCACTGCTTGTACTTACAGAAATTAATGGCATGAATGTAGCATTACAGCTCTATTATTCCATCTGTCAGAGGGCTGGAAATGAAACAGAGGTAGGAAACGATGGAGGGCTACATACTAATGTGAGGAGGACATCTGGAGAAAGTGTTTTACTTTTATTTGAATTTTTTTTTGTTCTGAATGTGGCAGGGGTTTGGACAGCTGCATCCCAAACGTATGCCATACTTAATGCAGAGTTACAGTAAGTGATTATTCCTACAGCAACGCTCTGTACTCTCTATTTCTAAACACAATCTTACCACATAACTCTGCCAATCATTGTGCTTGGACTTTAATACATCTTATCTGGTATTGTCCTTCCAAAACTACACCCATTTGATTTTTACTCTGAAGCAATCCATCATTCTTTTTCCTATGACATTTTTGGCTGAATTTGGACAACCAGAGTGGATGTGAAAATTCAAATGTGATGTGTTATCAGGGACCATTCCAGTTCTTAAAGAAAACATGGCGCACTCTGACGGTGGTTTGGTGCAGTAGAATTTAACGAGTCATGTGGCTCAAATGAAAAGATTTAAGAAACATCTTAAAGAGAGAACTACAACTGAATGAATTAAAAGTCACATTACCCTAAATTACATCAACAATACGTCCCTATTAAGAAACTTGTTCATTCATTTCAAAACGTAATTACATATATATGTTTTAAGTTTTTATCAAATACTGACACATCTTTTGCATATTTATGAGACACAAGTTTGTCCCAAGTTTAACCTCTTCCACAAGTGCACTGTAAGATTGAGGGGGTCTTGGTTGAAGTTGGCTACAGGGGCTCATCAAGGCAAAGAGTGAAAATTGCTGTTATCTTTAAACTTTCATCACACCGCGATGGAGGTACGCCTCCAGACATCCTTGGACAGATATTCATTTTCCCTTTGTCTCTTTGCGGTTTTCCTGAAAGTTTTACCTGCAGGTCCCTCTCTCTCTCTCTCTCTCTTATATATCTCTGGTATAATAATCTCATCTAGGCACCTTGTCTTCGTCTGTTTGTTCATTTGCACATGCTTAACAAACCCTCTGCAATTATTGAAAAAAGGTTTTTTAGTATATTGAATGACAGGTGAAGTGTGTCTATTAGCTATGAGTTATGATTTACTTCATGAATCTGTTGCCAAACAACTGCTTAAAGGTTTGACTTTAACATCTCTTAGTAGGATGCTGCACTGCTGCTTTCCTCGTCATTTCAATGTAATCAACTCTTTAATCACGTAACAGCTTCCATGCCAGCTAACAGAGTTGTATGACAAAGAAAATTGGAAAACCTATTTGCAAACCAACACGCTCATACTCCCAGCTCTGCCTGAGCACCGGCGTTGTCAAACTCTATTTGAAGGCAGAGTAAGGGAGCCGCAGAGGGAATGTCAGTGAACAAACAGCAGGAGCAGCTTCACACACAGACTCATTTTTACTGGATTTACTATTACAACATTGTTCTTTGTAAAAAAAAAGTGTGTGAGCTTGTATTTAACGCTTGTATCAGGTATCTCCTGACCCCGATGTGTCGGCTCAACACACTGAAGCTATCATGTCAAATCCACTCTGTTTCTTTTTCTTTGACTTGACTGTGTGAAGAAGCAGAGCAAAGATGGCTCTCCGCCCTCGCCTCCTGCCATCCTTCCTCTCTTCCTTTCTTTCCTTCTTTCTTTTTCTTTCTTCCTCTTTTTCTTTCTTTCTCTCCCTGTCTCCATCCTTCTCCCTTACTCGCTTTCTCTCTGGAAATCGATGCAAAATGCTTTATAAAAAACCAATACTCATCTCCCTGTTTTGCCCGAGGTGTTCCTTTCTCATATGGTCTTGCAATTCTTCCAGCTAGAATTTCACCATACCCCTCCAGGCTAACTCTGTTTTTCATCTCCACTTTTTTAAAAAGCAATTAAAATGCTGCCTGTTTTTCTTTTTCTTTCCCTCTCCCCTACTCCCTTCACTCTCTCTCTCTCTCTCTCTCTCTCTCTCTCTCTTTCTCTGTTGGTCTACTCATTTTCTTTTTTCACTTTCTGTTGAATCCCTGAATTGGAGGGGTGGGGGTGTTTTTAACAGGTAGGGAGAGGAAAAGGTCTGTGTGTGTGTGTGTGTGGGGGGGGGGGGATGTGAAAAATTAAGAAAAAAGACACATAAACAGACATGCCAAAAGACAAAGAGAAAGAGAGAGCTAAAGGCAAAGATATAGGGAAAAGAAAGAAGAGAAAAACTGAAGAGAAGTAAAAAAAAAAAGAAATAAACAGAATTTGAGTGGAAGACAGAAAGAGGTGAAGAGAGTGGGAGAAAAAAAAAAGCCATGACAGAGCTACACAGAGAGACATGTAGAAAGAGTCAGGGAGGGTGAGGGGGAGGTGGTGGGTGTGGGAGGTTATCGAGGACAGCAGCAGCTCAGATCTCCCACCACAGCCGTGCCAAGTGAGGGCAGGCAGCGGGGTAGGGTAGGTGCGCAATATCTGGCAGCAGCTACTCTCAGCTGCTGGAGATACGTGTTAGAGGGAGGGGGGACGCAGCACAGGTATCTCTGATTCTATGAGACAGATCTAACACTGATGGTGGCCTGATGAACACAGGACACACAGCCGGTTACTTCAAAGTGGAACAAACACAGGCTTGTAAGGGGGAGGCTGAAGTCAAAACCCTTTTTCTCTATACTGTGCCTGACTCTGATTGACTGAGATCTGCTGAGGATATTTGAACTGACAGTTGTCAAAATCTGCTCCAAAGACTATTAGACCAAAGTTTAATATTGTCAAAAAATAATGATATTTTAGTCAAGGATGGATCAAGTTTCTGTCGAACTCTTAGCACATTTCCTCATTTCATTCTAAATCAGGGGTAGGAATAAAAAATCATGCTGCTCTCATAAAGCTTTAGTTCACAAGGTTGCAGCAATTAAACAAATAAAGGATGAATTGATAAGAGAACATTTAATCTCCTCATATTTCAGTAACCGATGAATTGTATTGCTGATTTCTCAAGCAGAAACTCTCACATATTTGCCTGTTCCAGCCTTTTGAAAGTAAAGATTTGTCATCTTGTGAGTGATTAGTCTCTGACTTTTGTTTTTTGGACAAAGAAGGCAAAATGAAGACTAAAAGCCCAACCAATTAATCGGACGATTTTACTTTCCAGTTGAGTGGCCATCTTGCCTTCATTGTATATCTTTTCTTCAAGTGTTGGATAACTGCATTTGAGAGATAAATGCATCAAAGGTTTATATCCATATCTATCTCTACAGATCGAACATAGATCAAAGATAGTTATCAACCAATTTATCGGTATCTGATTTTTTTTTTATCTTCCTAATACAATATTGGTATCGGCCCCAGAAATCCTATATCGGTCAGGCCCTAATGAAGACGTCACTTTAAGGCGAGTATTTTCTTTTGACAACTTTCTGACATTTTATAGACTAAACAATAAATCTACTAGTCCTACAAAATAGTCTGCAGATTAATCAAGCACCAAAGTAATATTTAGCTGCAGACCTACATGATGTTGGTTTATGATGCTTTAACCAAACATCTCCGCTCTTACACTCACAATCTGAAGAGCTAATAATCACAGTGTTTCAGCAGTTATCCTCTTCATGTTGAGCTGTATAGTGTGAATTATTCTGCACAGGAGTAACAATTAATGCTCATTATTATTTCATGTGAAGTGATTAAAACTAAAAGTCTTATCAAACAGCTGATTTTGAATTACATTATGCAGATTTCTGGTGCCATGTAGCCTCGCTTACTTGTTCAAATCCAGTCATAGCACAAACTACAAACTCTAGTGGTCTAAAGAATTACAAACGTATATTGACATTGTGTTTAAGATGTATGTTGATTTTCATGATCTGATCATCAGACATTTATTTGTATTGCTAAATGCTATACTTTACTGAAGAACAGAGCAAAAACATCCTTCTTGTTTGAGCTGATATCCTCCAGGTTTTGTTATAGCCCTTCAATAAATGAGGCCTCAAACATGAATGTGGCCTTACAGTCTTTCTTAATAATGCATGCCAATGAAAAAAATAGAAAAAATGTTCTTTGAAAGGGTTAACAGTCCAAAGAAAGAATTGAGACCATGTTTACAGCAGTTTGAAAGACCTAATTAAAGACTGGAAATACAGTATACGGCAATAGACCGCTTTCTGAAACGTGCATATCGTAAAAGATTCAGCTTGTAGAAAAGGAAGCTTTTAGATAAAGAGGACTAGAGGACTACTAAAAGAGAGTGCATGAAGCCAGTGGAGATCAATCGTTTTCTGGACACAGAAAGCTCGATGTCAAAGAGAAAAATGTCCAGTGGTCCTTTCAAAATAGTTTCCTTGTCTGTGGAACATTTCCCCCTAATTTCCTCAGCTTCTGTTCAAGTGACTGCTCCCACTGTCCTCTGCGAGAGCCACACAGAGTGCGCATCAAAGTTTCATGACCCCTGTCCCTTAATATGGCCCGTGCAGAGGAAGATGAATCACCACACATTAGTTACTAGACTAACTTTCTCTTGGCACGTTGCATTATTTAGCAGACAATCTATTAAAAGTAATCATCAACTTTAAACTCTTAACCCTGCTCTTTTTAGCCGTCACCTTTTCCCCTGTATTGCCAGCGTGTCCTGCTAAGAACGGAAGTGGCTTAAATGCAACGTATGTGGCGATGCCAGAGTAATTGTTTTGCTTTCTGCTGTCAGCCATTATCCTAATTCACACAAAAGGGCCCCTCCTAACACTGGCTCCAGCAGAAAGTGGAGCCCCGAGGCCAACTGTGCACTGAGGAGGCTGAGAGAGAGAGAGAGAGAGAGAGAGAGAGAGAGAGAGAGAGCATGTGAGTGTATGCATGTGTGTGTGTATGTGTGTGATCAAGAGTGAGAAAGGAACAAAAAGAGAGAGAGAGAGTGAGAAAGAGGGAGAGGGAGAGAGCACTCCAACTAACACTCACACTGGTATCCGCTCTTTACTCTGACTGTAAAAACACTGTTTGGTGCTCTGACATGACTCTGTGCTCCATTTACATGGTGCCCTGTGTGTGTCCCCCTATGAATAACAGCCTTGTAGTGAGTAGTTGTTGCACAACAGCAGAGAAAATACGGCGACACAATAGATAATTCCCAAACAAGAAATAAGAATTTCTGTTAGAAAATAGTCCAGCACTCTAAATAAAAACATCTTGATACTTGCTCTAAAGCAGATACAAATTGCTTTCAATAACTTTGAAAATCAGATCTTAAAAACATGAGCGCTTTTGATTAAAGAATAACTGTATTCTTGTCTTGTATCAAGCCAACATGACGCCATGACAGTGTGTAGAAAAAACATAAAGGATCTTAGTAAGTAAAAGTAAACAGTCACAGGCCCTTGTCTTGGATGAGTCTTGTTTTCCTCATGACGTGTTGCAGTCAGGAATAAAAGCAGAGCTGTCAGGGATTTCCTGTCAGCAGACTCTAACAATATCAAGACTTTATTACCCAGGGATTATGTGGATTGTTTCCTGTAGCCAATTCGCCAGATTTTTCTAACCACCTGGTGAATGTTTACCTTGGCCCACACGGGACTCAGACTGTCAGTAACGCACAATCAAAAGGCTGCATAATGTTATGAATAACACTCCTGCATTTGAGAGAAAAAAGCCCACAAAAAAGAGATGGGAGAAAATCATTTTATATCATTTTGATCTCAGGTGTGTTTGCTTTCCCCCCAGCTCCATCCACTGGGGTCACCCTGTTTGTGGATGGAGC